CCCCCCCCACCCCCACCCCTCACACACACACACGCACACTCACACTCACTCACTCACTCACTCTCACACACACACACCTCACACACACACTCACTCACACTCACTCACTCGCACACTCACACTCACTCACTCACTCACACACACTCACACTCACTCTCACACACACACACACTCACTCACACACACACACACACACACTCGCACACACACACACACTCGCACACACACACACACTCGCACACACACACACACTCGCACACACACACACACTCGCACACACACACACACTCGCACACACACACACACTCGCACACACACACACACTCGCACACTCACACACACACTCACTCTCACACACACACACTCTCTCTCTCGCTCACTCGCACACACACCTCACACACACACACACACACTCACTCGCACACACACCTCACACACACACACACACACTCACTCGCACACTCACACTCACTCACTCACTCACACACACTCACACTCACTCTCACACACACACACTCGCACACTCACACACTCACACACACACACTCACACTCACTCGCACACTCACACTCACTCACTCACTCACACACACTCACACTCACTCTCACACACACACACACTCGCACAATCACACACTCACACACACACACTCACACTCACTCGCACACTCACACTCACTCACTCACTCTCACACACACACACTCGCACACTCACACTCACTCACTCACTCACTCTCACACACACACCACACACACTCACTCGCACACTCACACTCACTCACACACTCGCACACTCACACTCACACTCGCACACTCACACTATCGTGGAAACCTGGCAGGGAAACCCCATCCAGAAGGAGTCGCTGCGTGTGTTCTTCCTGGTGCTGCAGGTGACGCATTACCTGGACGCCGGACAGGTGAGAGCCACACGCTTCTCCTCCGTTACAGCTCATCCGTCTCTTATTTGACTCTTCTGCACATTGTGTTCTCAAAAGTCAAGGTAGTTAAATTCAAAACGACTGAAGGTGTAACACCAGCAGACTATTATTAACTATAAATGTTCTGTGAAAACAATGAGCAGCAGCTTTCAGTCCGTCACCGTGAAGCAAACGTGAAATATCAGACATACAGTAGCAGTTCTTCACAGGAGTTTTTATTAGATTGCACTACTTTTCCATCGTTTTTTCTGTGTAAGCATGGACGTGTTTGACTGATGCATCTCTTGCATGAAACGGCTTTCTAAAAACACTGCGCTCAAGTTAAAAAGTTCACTCCCATCTTGCATGAATGGCTCCTAGCGCTGTGTTCTGTGCAGGTGAAGAGCGTGAAGCCGTGTCTGAAGCAGCTGCAGCAGTGCATCCAGACCATCTCCACGCTCCACGACGATGAGATCCTGCCCAGTAACTCGGCCGATCTCTTCCACTGGCTGCCCAAAGAGCACATGTGTGTCCTCGTCTACCTGGTGAGCGTCTGCATGTGCCACCTCACGCATTTATGCTCCTTCACCAGCGCTTTCAAGTGCTTGAAAAATAAAGCCTGCTTTTAGGAACATTACAATCTGTTGCATTCCCCATCATTTTAATGTGAAGAAATAATCCTGTCCCTTGTATGGGTCACAATTATACATTTCTCTTTTATGCCAAAAATCATTAGGATATTAAGTAAAGATCATGTTCCATGAAGATATTTAGTAAGTTTCTTACCGTAAATATATCAAAACTTAATGTTTGATTAGTAATATGCATTGCTAAGAACTTCATTTGGACAACTTTAAAGATGATTTTCTCAATATTTAGATTTTTTTGCACCCTCAGATTCCAGATTTTCTAATATTGTCCGATCCTAACAAACCATACATCAATGGAAATCTTATTTATTCATGTATAAATCTCAATTTTGAAAGACTGACCTTTATGACTGGTTTTGTGCTCCAGGGTCACAAATATGAAAACAAATGAGGCTTGATGTATTTGTATAAGTTGTTCTTGTGAAATGCACCTGTGTGTTTTTATTGGTGATAATGTGATGGGAGTGAGAGGTGAGGTGTTTATGTGTGTGTGTGTGTGTGTTTCAGGTGACGGTCATGCACTCGATGCAGGCTGGGTATCTGGAGAAAGCCCAGAAATACACAGATAAAGCCCTCATGCAGCTGGAGAAGCTGAAGAGTGAGTCGCGTCACATCACAGAGACTCGTGTTCACGTGTGTGTGTGTGTGAGATAACTGATGTTCTGATGTGTGTGTTTGTCAGTGCTGGACTGCAGCCCCATCCTGTCCTCGTTTCAAGTCATTCTGCTGGAGCACATCATCATGTGTCGTCTGGTGACGGGACACAAGGCCACGGCGCTGCAGGAGGTGTGTGTGTGTGTGTGTGTTTGATGGAGCTGTGTGATGCTGCTGCAGTGTGTAACGTGTGTGTGTGTGTGCGTGTGTCAGATCTCTCAGGTGTGTCAGCTCTGTCAGCAGTCTCCACGGCTCTTCTCCAATCACGCGGCTCAGCTCCACACGCTGCTGGTGAGACCAAACTCCACAACATCACAATCATCTCTAACACACACACTCACGCTCACACACACACACACACACACGCTCTCACACACACACACACACTCACGCACACACACACACACACTCACGCTCTCACACACACACACACACACACACACACTCACGCTCACGCTCTCACACACACACACACCCACACACACACAGACAAACCAAAATTTATTCAGACACCTTCAACATCTCTCACATTTTCACAGTTTATTTGCTATAGTAATGGTACTAAAATATGAGAAGAGCTCAGAGTTAAAACTCTTAACTTTTATAAAGAATATCTCTTTGGGTTTGAGACTTTAGTCTTTGCAACTTTACAGATCTTCTTTATGCACCAAGAGCTTGTAACACTCCAAAGAGAAAGGAACACTTGGAATCGCATCATGTGACCCCTTTAACGTATTTGAATATTAGAAATGTGTTAGTGTGTTATCATCTTGATAATATCAGATAACTTTGATAGAAAGGTATGTAATGAATTCGGATGAATATCTGTCAGCTGTTAACTTTAAGAACACAATTAGATAAAACCAATTTAGCTCAACTAATCACCACGCAGTGCTTCATTCTGTGGTGTAAAAGATCACGTTAGCAATTAAAGAAAAACACTTCAGAAACACATGCTCAGCTCAAAGTGTCTGAATCATTGTTGATCCGGTAGTCCACTGTATGAAGAATTATTGGGTGTAATATGACACCGTTTACTTTATTTTGCTCTCCTCACTTACATAAATGAACTACAGTGTCCTGCACACACTAGTAAATAAACATCAACAATTATATCTGCTGTCTGAATAGTTTTTGGTTTGACTGTATGCGAGCTAAGAGTGAACTCTTTTATATGGAGAAATAAGGGCAGCATGATTTGGGGGGAAATCAAAGTGCAATTTTTCAGATAAAAATGAGATTGGGATTTTTCCTGTGCTTGTTTACAGGGCTGCACAATTTAGCCAAAATGTTGTGATGAGATTAATATGGCCATTAAATACTAAAGATAATCTATAATCGTTTATTAGTAATTTTCATAAAAATACAAACATCAATTAATAATTTATTATTATTACTGCTTATTAAAAATATACAAATTACTAAATAAAACAAGAAGTATTGCTATTGTAGTTTCACGGTAAAATAATTAATTAGTTTAATAATTATTTAGTTCACATTACAACATTGCAACACTAGTATTTGTGGCTGTCTTGATTTTTTTCATTTGACTTATTTTGAGCCCTTAAAGATTCTCTTTAGTGGATATGTGCTTCTCAGATGTTTGGCACGTATTGTGTTTTTAAATCACATTAAAGCGTCTCAAACTCACAGCAGACGCAGATGGATGAGTTGCTCAGAACACTGGATCATGCGCTGCTCACGTGTAAATGAACACAGCGACACGCTTCGCTCTGAAACACACAGCGCAGATATTTGTTGAATTAAATCACAGCCATTGTGTTTTGATAATTGCACTAAGCCATATCGTGATTTTTCGGTTTTCATTTTGATTAACCGTGCAGCTCTATGAAGAATGCTTTTATTTTTTTCAGTAAGATCCAGTCTTCGGTGATGCTTTGATGTGGTCAGATGAGACGACGGATGCTGTACGTGTTGCTCATGTGATGTGTTTGTGTGTTTCAGGGTTTGTACTGTATCTCTGTTAACTGTATGGATAACGCTGAGGCCCAGTTCACTACAGCGCTGCGGGTGAGACACGCAAACACACACTGTTCTTACAGACGTGACGGAGCTGAGCTCATTCATTCATGTGTGTGTGTGTGTGTGTGTGTGTGTGTGTGTGTGTGCAGCTCACCTCCCATCAGGAGCTGTGGGCGTTCATCGTCACTAACCTGGCGAGTGTGTACATCAGAGAGGGAAACAGACATCAGGAGGTCAGTCATCATAAAACAGATCATCATCATCATCATCAGTAATCATCAATGACTCATGTTGTTGTTCTTCTGTCTTCATTTGTGCAGCTCTACAATCTATTAGAGCGGATAAACCCAGACCACAACTTCCCCGTCAGGTAACACAGATGATACACACGCTCTCTCTCTCTCTCACTCTCTCTCTCACACACACACACTCTCTCGCTCTCTCTCTCGCTCTCTCTCTCGCTCTCTCGCTCTCTCTCTCGCTCTCTCGCTCTCTCTCTCGCTCTCTCGCTCTCTCTCTCGCTCTCTCGCTCTCTCTCTCGCTCTCTCGCTCTCTCTCTCGCTCTCTCGCTCTCTCTCTCGCTCTCTCGCTCTCTCTCTCGCTCTCTCGCTCTCTCTCTCGCTCTCTCGCTCTCTCTCTCGCTCTCTCGCTCTCTCTCTCGCTCTCTCTCACTCTCTCTCACTCACTCTCTCACACACACACAATCTCTCTCTCTCTCTCTCACACACGCACACACTCTCGCACACTCTCTCACACAGACACTCACTCACTCACTCACTCTCTCTCTCACTCACACACACTCTCTCTCTCTCTCTCACACACGCACACACACACACACAATCTCGCACACTCTCTCACACAGACACTCACTCACTCTCTCGCTCTCTCTCTCTCGCTCTCTCTCACTCT